GTGTGTTTATACAACGTAAGGTCATTACTTTGATGCTGTTCCTACCCTTTCAAAAATATAATGTGGTATGTTAGAGCGTGTCTCCACAAAAACCGAATGCTGACACAGGCAGGGCCCTTGTGTGTGATTCCATAATTTACATGTAATATCCTGTAGGCCTAATTTTTCTTGAATTACACACGTTTAGGGTTAAAACAGCCAATCTTCGGATAGGTGGACACGTGCCCTAATTTGTTAATTGTTGTGGTTATGTCATGTATCCGTGCTGTTCTAATTTGGATTTCATTCTGTTGTTAAACCTTTATTTTTCACGTTTTTACCCTCTGGGTGACTACAAATGATATTCTGGATGCTCAATACAGAGCACAAGAAATTCTGGTGCTTTAGATTGTTACCTCTATCAACATATTGCTATATATGCGTCGTCACAGAGAGTTGAAAGCTTGAAAATGAAAATTAAAGGCAACTTTGTTGGAAACTTTTGCCACTTTTTGTGGCAATCTTTGGACAACAAAAATGGCAACAAACGCAGATGCTAGACTAACACGTTATTGTGTTTTCTACAGGTGCTAGCTTTGTATAGACTTCTTTGGCCGGCTAAACTCTGTCTTAAGCTAAATGTGCTATGAACAGCTGGAAACATCTTACCTTCCTTGTACTTCTAATATTTTTAGCAACTTGTGTGGGTGGTCGTTACACTTTTAGAAGTGGTTATTATCTATTAGTTTTTGTTTCTGTCACATTGTAACCACCAACAAAATAATGTGTTTTACCTGAAGACCTAGAATTTCAACGGCTTCTTCGTCCGATAAACTCTTATCCAAACCTTGATATGCTCTCAAAATCAGTAATCATCTGAATTACTTTGTCCTCTAGTTTTGAGTAAATTGGGCGGTCGACGACATGAAGTGGCCCATTCAGTACTATTCGTTTAGTTTTAGTTGAGGTTTTACAGCGCTCGCAACCGCATAAGGTCATATGAGCGCCAGAAGATTAGAGGTGTTACAATAGAGTAACAAACATAAAAAAGAAGAAGGGGAGATAAGGACGATAGGTGTTTGATAGGAAAGAAGAAGCAAACCACATCAGAGCACCCGCCAACCACCCACGTATTATTCTCCAGAGATCAGCAGCAACTCTCACGAAGCTGACACATTATGCCAGATCAGCAAGAGACCAAAGGCAGAGTTGTACAACATTTCATCCATCATACACAAATCAGAAACACAAATTTGAACATTTCATACTAAGCATGCTGTGGCCTGCATTTCTATGTCACAGTATAACACGGATAGGTCGGAAACAGAAAACTCGAAATCACACATCCGTCGAACTGTGCTAGCCTGTTTTTTTCTTCTTCATTCTTTGTAAGATATGCCTCGAACTACCGAGGCGGGTCGCGACGAATTCGAGCTATCCGTGTTATACTACAGTAGTAAAGAAAACAAGAGTTGAAAAATTCCATTTTAGTATATTAGTAAGGGTTTTACGGCACTTGTAACACAATAAGGTCATACAAGTGCCGAAGATTAGAAATGTCACAAACAAGCGGGTAGCAAAAGCAAAAAAGGAGGAGAGATAAAGGACGATAGCTATTTCATGGGAAAGAAGGAGCAAACCACACCAGAGCACCCGTCATCCACCTGCCAAAAATCGGTATGAGTGATGTGAAGTTATGCTTCTTTGACTTTGAGTATATGCACACACACACACACACACACACACACAAACAATACAAGCATATATTCATTTGAGAAAAAGGCATAGAGAAAATAAAGGGTTTAACTTCAATTAACTATTGTACGTAAAATAAGGACTGGAAAATCAGACAGAGGTAGTTTTTAAAAATCTTTTTTTGCTTTTTAATGAAAGGGCTCATTATTTCTAGCCTCTTGCAGAAATAACAGAAAACAATAGGTCTACTAATACTAATACATGTATGTGAATAAATCTGTCAAAATAATTATATTATACCTTTATCAAGGTCAAGACATTTTGCAGTATGAAATCAAGTCATTGTATATGAAATATAAACTTACCCAATGTTATAAGAAAAATCTCTTAACAACAGTCTTTTTAAAAATTACTTAAAATCTCTCTCGCTCCTGAAACAAAATAATAACAACTGAACTGAAAATGAAACATGCTTCAAACACAGACACTTTGAATACATTATATATATATAATCTCATTCAAATTATCCAATTCCTTAGCATAAGAAATAAGATTCTATGCCGATTGCTGATGTAACTCATCATCAGGGTACCCGTAGATAAAATTAGATACGGTACATGGAAAGGCACTGAAATCTCGGGACTTCACACAAAACTTTGAACCACAGAAGAGATTTAGTTTTTGAGTTTTAGTAAGCGTTTTTTTTTTGGCACTTGCAACAGAGGTCGTATAAGCGCCAAAGATTAAAGGTGTTACTAAAGAATAACATAAAAAGAAAAGGAGGAGGAGAAAATATAAGGATAACAGGTGTTGGACAGGAAATAAGGGACAAATCACACCAGAGCCAACCATCCACACAGGCGAGCAAGACCTTTACAATTATATATTTTACTTGATTACACAAAGAAACTCTCAGTAGTCGTATGTGTATTATTGTACTGGTAAATGCCCACTTCAACACAAATTAGGTCATTTAAAAGACGCGGGCTGCTTTGATCCTGTCTGCCAGGGCTAAAAGGAATACAACATCTTTAATAGAAAGAACCTCTCCACATGGGAACTGAACTTGTGTTTTCTGTGTGCCATAGTGAAGCGCATAATTGCTACACCTCAGACTTTTCAGTAGTTGTACAATGTCAATCAGACAGGGGCAAACAAAAAATTTTTGTCCCTCGAACTTGAATCAAAAGGTATGCTGTAGAGGGGGGTGGGGAAGGGTTTTAGTACATTAACCTTCACCTAATCTGTGGTATGACTTACAGTGAGGCAAGGGCACCACTACAGAATTTACAACCACTTTCTTCATTCTTCCACTCCTCTTAGTTCTCAGCTCTCTATGTTCCAGTTTCAGTTTTTTTGATGTTGTTTTCTCATCCTTTCCTTTGTTTGCCTCTTCATCTACTTCTTGCTTGTGATGTTCCCTGCAGGATATCCTTGGCCAATCTAAAAACCGTGTGATGTGCTCATACCACTTCAGTTTAGTTTGCGTTATTTCACTGAAGTCAGGAGGTCTTCATGCTGCCCAACGACATTTCCAAATCTGGTTCTCATTATCTCACTGTACATAACTACATTAATAAGGTCTCTATTGGGGGTGGGGGAGGGGGGAAGAGGAGAGGAGTGTTAACAGTGGCCTTACACAGGCCTTGCAAGTTAGGGCATACAAGTACAAGTAGTAAATGAGCAAATGTAGTGTCAGAAGGATGACTCTGGCCAAGGCACATTTGTGGAGGGTTTCCAGAGTGGACCAAGGTCAGCTTTTATTTCTAGCAGCTCCTGCACGATAATGATTAGTCCAGGGGCCAAAAACTTCATATCTTTTTAAAGAATACTGTTAAGAAATTTCTAGAAAGAACTTCAATCATGTGTCCCCCCTAGCTCACAAGTCCATATTTCTTGAATTAGTTGCATAGCTGCCAACTCTTCAAACCCACCAAAAAATAAAAAAGACTGCATACATGGTGGGTCAAGATGGTAGATATTGGCTGTGACACCACACTCCAAATCCTTCACATACACCTTTCTGCATTCAATAAATGCAAGCTTATTACAGAAAACCTGCACCAAAGGATCTCTCCAATTGATCCATGGGCTTCATTTACATTATTACTCACGTATCTAGTCTTGAAATTTCTTAATTTTTCTTTACAATCAGCAAGTCTGTTAGGAGCAATACTAGAAAACAGAGAATACGAACTTTCTCGACATGGAAACAGAATCAGACCTGCCACTCTATGAAATCTAAAAATCAGGATCTCAGTGGGAAAAAAAATCAGGTCAACAGGCAAATCACCAAGGTGGCTACCAAGGTGGCTACCAAGCTGACTTAAAAATTTTCCAGGGGTGTCCATAAATACCTCCATGTATATGCCCTGTGTGTGTATAGGTGTGTGTATACGTGCGTGTGTATGTGTGAGTGTGTGCATGTGTGTGTGTGAGAGCTTGTTTTATAATTATTTTTTAAAACCCTGAAGTATCAGATAGTTAGTCCAAGTGTCTAACCTATCCCCCCCCCTCCCTAGTAAACCCGAAAGACGCTTCAACTCACGTGCATGAACTTAAGTAGACCCTGTCGATGGACGATCCCTGACACACGCGGAACTCACACGGCGTAGTCATGTCACATGATGCGAACATGCAACTGAAACAGTTTTACTGACGGGCCCAACTAACCAGAACTTAGACAAAACTTGTTTTGAAAGTAACAGCACAACCATAAATAGTATTGATTATTTGTATGTCGCACTTGAAACAGTTATAATCAGACCACTATCGGAGAATTCTGAGTGGAAACAAAAGTGAGAGCAGATCTTGAGAAGGTCCAAAGTCGGAATGCCAAATCAATACTGCTTCCATTATAGTATAGTTGAAATAACACATGGAAGCAAAGATCCAATACAACTTTGGGGCGACTCAACTACTAAATCCGGCATCGATATTTAGGAAAATAGTGCTCAGAGTTCCTGTTGACAAAAAGTTTAACAGGTGCTTCCCCCTACAGAGAAGAAGGAAGAGTAAGTTTTAAAAAAAATCCAGCCCAACAGACGGCACAAAAAGATTGGGATCCATGCGATTGAACAGGAAAATCGGAAAGCTTGAGATCGGGATATCCCGATAAAATCAGGATTAGTGGAAGGTCTGCAGAATTCTGTACTCCGAACCTCAAAGATGGGTTGAATACCTTTATAGAAACAAGTTATATAGCTGTTAAAGGAAGATCACATTTCATGTTTTGAGTGAGATTTGTTTTGTTCTAAAAATAGAGATGAGAGGAATTCATACAATAACACAACCAGAAACTTGAAAGCACATGACAAAAACAGTAATCACTATGATAATCTTGTATATTTGATTACATATATGGCAAAATAGACAAGTGCAATAACTTTACATAAATTTCATCATACGACACACAATCAGCAATTTGTTACTATGTACCAGTACCGACTGTTTTCGCATGCCTAAACCACTTTGTAATCAACCCGCTGAGCAGAGATCATGTGTGCCTACAAAAAATGTTCAGTGCAAGTGTGAAAAGCAGTGCGTAAACATCTCAACTGTGCTTTACTTGAGCTTGTAATTTCTCATTCTTAAAATTTGTATAACAAAAACAATAACAATCAACAGAAATATCTCTGGCAGGACAAACAGGCAACCAGGCCATGTCACCCTAAAAGACTTTACAACTTGCTTGGGCTACCAGGTTTTGGACCTTCCCACTTCAAACCTGCAACACAGAAAACAAAAGATAGATTAAGAAGCAAGTCAGCCTGCCAAAAAATACAGTAAAAAAACATAAACAAAGATGTTAAGTGAGCACCAGGCTATGTCACATTAATCCTATGACTTGGCCTGTTTCAAGCTTCTTTATGACAGATTTATTTTGTCCTTAACTTTGTATTTCAAACTTTTTAAAGATGGGCTTCGTTCTTAACTTTACTAACTTATCAAAAAAAGTTTGTAAATGACTTCATTGATTTTTCATTTGACTGGTTTCACATGGATATTCTACATTTATTGTTGTAAGTCAAGTGCTAGTACTAGTATTTTTTTCTCTAAAAATGGACTTATCCTGGTTTTCATTAGACTGCTTCAAATATATATAACTTGTAGCAAAACATGTTCTAACCACATATTTATTCTGATCACAGCCGGTGCAACTGAAGCTGTAACTGATTTTTATATACATGGCAAAGTTTCATACTCCTATTTTTCATAGACCCAAATCCAAAGTGCATCATGTTCATTATTTTGACTGACAACAGTTTCCTCAGATTTTGAATTGGGTATCAACAGTCGACTACGGATGAATTGTCGTCGTTGGGAGAGTGTAAAAAAGGTAAAAACAACCAAAGTTCGACTCAACAGTTGGGGACTGTAAAGAATAATAGGTAGGTACAGGGACACAAGCAAAAGATCAACATTACTAACGGTTAACTCAAGCAAGTTCAACACAGTGGAGTCGACTGTATTTAGAATTTATGCTGTGTGTCATCATTGCTATCCTACTACTATAGGCTCTTTCATACCTTTCACAAAACAACTTTTTTTACTTGAGGTATAGAAGCTTACAGCAGCTGGACCACATACCACCCACCACACAGAAATTGGAAAACAGCCTTCTCTTACATTTAGTTTTAGTACCAGCCCTCCATAACCTCAGTTGGTATCATGCTGGACTACGGAGCAGACAGTCCTGGTTCAAATCCTCGTAGGGGGATTCTTGAACTTGGGTCATTTTGTGGAGTTTTCAAGGCTCTTACCCTATTTGGCTCTCTCATATCAGAGTTGAATGTTTAAATTCGGAGGTCCCACTTCATACATAACCTTACTGTTCAAACGAGGGTCATTGAACCCGTACACTTACTTACTAACTTACACATACGACAGGAGTGATGAAAAGGGCAACTAGCAAAGAGGACCTCAGTAATTTTCTTCTTATCTAAAAATAGGTTACGTGCAGTTCAACTCTTAAACCTCTGTACATGATCAAATCGGTTTAAAAACTTTTCTGGCAACCCGAAAAAAATAAAAAATCCAGAAACATACCCATCATATGCGCCATAATGGGAAACCTGTCACAGCCAAAGACCCATTCTTTCTGACCATTCACATCAAACACGATTATGGGAGACCCAAACGCCTGAAAATAAAACACAAAATATATTGCCATTAGCTGAAAATCGAGTCCACGAAAAATACAATGTTTTAAAGAAAAAAAAAGAAAAAAAAAAGGAAACATGGTCACAATTATCTCCTAATATGATCATTATCCTTTTGCTTAACTATCCCAGATAGAGATAAAACAAAGAAATTGAAATATAGATAAAAGGACAGGAAGGAGAGAAAAAAAACTTATTACCTTAAGGTTATGTCACTGCTTCTGAGAAAGAACATGTTACTGTACTAAATTATTATTGTCATAAGGTGAGAGTGAGACTCATTGGACTGGTAAAAAGTAAACAGAGTACTTTCATCAGCTTCTGCAGAAAAAAAGTAAATAGTCTAGTACACACATAGCAAGATTGGTGAAACATGGAAATCGTTTTGTTATGTTACGAATTTGGCTATGTAGGCCTATGTGTTTCAAATACACAAAAGATATATATACATGTAAGAAAAAATAAGGGACCTGAAAGTCTGTTTGCTATTATGTGCATGTTTTGTTACATGCATGTTCACTATGTACCTGCTAGCATGTACAAAGTATTATACTAATCATCTCAACACAATGCAACAAAACATGCATGTTTATATATATGGATACAAGTAGACACATTTTTAAGCATACCCACATCCAACCAAAGACACCCATCCTCATTCGTGGGTGGTTGGCAGGTGCTCTGGAGTGGCTTGCTCCTTCTTTCCTATCTAATATGTATCATCCTTATCTCCCCACCTTCTTTTTTTGTGTTTGTTACTCTCTTATAACAATAACGCCTCTAATCTTCGGCCCTTATATGACCTACTATGTCGCAAGTGCCAAAAAACTCTTACTAAAACTAAAACATCCCCATTCATCCCTTTCTCACAGCCCTAAACTCATGAAAAAGTAAATTGTAAATCTATGGACACATATAAAGTAGGTCTATATTACATGAGCGAAATGAAATAAAGAGAGTGATGTGGACACCTTATTTACAGTTTATAATAGAACTCATATGATTCATCGAAGCAGCAGGTTCAACCCAACGACAGCACTGGATGTGTTTCACTGGACTTGTTGTCAAATGGACTGAATGTTAATATTACTGTAATAATGTTCTGAAAATTGTTAAACTGTGGGTCTCTGACTTAAAAGCCTGCACCTTTGGCCAGTTTACGCTCAAGTTTTACAGCATTTGCAAAACAAATAGGTCATATAAATACCGGGAATGATAGGTGTTACTGGAGAGTAACAAAGAAAAAAAGGAGAGATAAGAAAAATAAATGTTTGATATGAAAGAAGATGCTATACCTGCATGGAACATTGTATCTGACTCCATCATGAAATGGTCTTGCTTACCCCCAAGTCCAAAGCCTCTTGTGTTGTATCCCTGAGTCTCTTTTTCACTTCGTCACTTTTAACTCGGGACAAAAAGGACTCTGTGATGTCTTTAGGCAAACCGGCTGCTGTTGCTGCCTGAATTTAGAGACAGAAAAAAACATTAACTATCAAACAACTTAGTATTCGATAAGTATGAAGAGGGAAGAGTTTTTTCTTTTTTTCTTCTCCCCCCCCCCCCCCCCGGCAAAAAAAAAGATAATTAAAAAAAAAACAAAAAAACTTTAATGAAGAACGTGATCACAAAAAGGTTCCTGTAGTGAAATATGAAATAAAATGTTTTCAACCATTCTCTTTACACACGAACTGCCTCTCCTATAAACTTAATCATTACCAAATAATTGAATGAAAAACTGGTTTCTCTGTGCTCGTGAGGTCTGTTTGTCTTGCTTACCTCCATGCCTCCATGAAGGGGGGAAAAAACTTGGAATATGTGTTTGTGGCGTGCTCAGCCTCATGACTTGGTCACCAACATATTTGGTTGCACCTTACATGATAAAACTATTCTATTAAAAATCACTCACTTTTTCAATGACTAGTTGGTTAATATGATACGCTTGTTCTGTATTTTAAAAAAAATTATTTTGCATTTTGTGTACCGGTATTGATAAATCAATAGTTTGGTTGTCTTTATTTTTGTATGCATTCGGTGTATTGTACTGAGCAAAAAAGTTATCCAGCCCACACTTGTCATCCTCTTGATTATCTGGCCCATTTTTCAAAAAGTTTCGTGACCCCTGGAATAATAAATGACTGAAAACACACATTCATAACATACATACAGTTGTTATTTTCTCCACCTTGCATCCCATACAAATAAAAAATCAAGAAAAAGTGGGACCAGCTGAACAATATGCTAAAAAAAAGGTCACGGCAAAACAACGGCTGCTTACTTTGAAATCACATTATGGCTCAACTTCACTTTAGTGAGAACTGAACGAGCAGTTGTCGGTTGGACTGATCAATCCAATTGGTCAGAACATGGCACAATTATTCAATCTTGTATTTTGGCAAATCTGAAATCCATCCATTTCTTTTCATACTAACTCTGCTTTTCAACTTAAAAGAAAAAAACCAACCCCCCCCCCCCCCCCAAAAAAAAACCCACCTCCAAAATTAAATGATATATGAATGCAACCAATCACAGACTTGTAAACTCTCATGAAACACATGTGGCACTACGTTTTTAAACTACAGTGGAGTCTGCTTTAACCGAAATCAGCGGGGGCGGCAGGATTGTCTTCAGTTTAGCCATTTTTTCGTTTAGAAAGATTGCTAAAAAACTCCAAACTAGTGAGGAAAAATTGGGGATTCTATTTTCTTTTGATTTACCCCTGTTTTTGGATTAACCATGTTCAGTGTTCTATTTAAGCAGACTCCTCTTTATACCAACAAATTCGGATTGAAAAATTCTTACTGCGGCTATTCCATCAGGCTGAACGATGTCTTGTTCCTGCAAAAAATAAAAACAAAAACCATATTACCAACAAAAAAATCTACTTTTCACAATACTGTTGTAATTGATATTCTATATTTGGATTACACGCTTTTCAATTCTCACATTACTGAAAAAAGATTCAATACGCAAAGTGAAAGAAGTACTTTCAATATTTAAGACTAGTTTTTTTCTAAACAATTCAATTTAACAAACCAGAGATGTTAGAAATTCATAAAGACTTACAAGAACATCTTATAATTTTCCCGCAGATTAAAGTTTCTTGCAACCTGCAACTTTTACCAACAAAGCGTAAATCGTTATTCCAACTAAAAAGTAACGTTTTTATAGTCAAATTGTGTATGATGTAAACAGTGTAAACTACTACAAAGCAACATTATAGTCTAACTACCGCTGAAGAGTAAAATGTGCATGATTTTGGTAAGTTATTGACTTTTATCAACATAGCACTAAATGTATCTTTTGCCACAAACCTCAAATCTGTTTGTTTGGAGAATGACTCGACAACGGTCTCTGGGACTTCTCTTTTTAAAACAAAGCAGACAAAAAAGTGGGACATTTAAGAAGTTGGACCTACCAGTTGCATCTTCGAAACACCCTCTGGCCCAACTTTGCTTTCTTTTTCTTTTTTTTTACTTCAGAGCACAACAAATAAGCTAGAACACAGGTGTCAAATTTAAGGCATGTGAATTTTAGGTAGCCCATCCTGAGAATTGCTGTAATGCATGACCTTACTCCAAACATTAACAAACTTATTGCAGCTCTGACATATGGTATGCAACGCTAAAATTAATATGCCATGATTTGAACTTTATTTTATTATTTCAACCTTTGCCTGTCTTAATTCATATCACTGTTTAAAAAATTGACTTTGGTTCCCTGGGCAATAGAGGCTGACACTCCTGAACTATAACAATCACACAAACTTGAAAACAGAGACCTGAAGAAAGGAAAGCAGGCAGGCAGACAGGTTGAGGCAGTGAAACACCACCTGTGCCACCATTGGACTAGATAAACTTAATTTAGGTTTCTTAATTTTAGAAGCACTTTGCTTCTTTCCACACTTTCTTTCTTTTAACTTTGTCTTTTGATACAGGCCACAGAAGGGATGGTAATCATATCACAACTTCTATTTTCAGAACTTAAAAAAGTTTCCTCATGCAATTTTCTGACACTGACACAACACACCACACATAACTGTTCTCATTCACCTACACAGAATGTCAAAAGGCCGAGTTAACAACCAAAAAGGTCACACAAACCCAATCATAATCTATTTAGTTGTCACTGAAACATAACACATCTAATGAAGTCTTCCAGTCCCCCCCCTTCAGTTTTGTTGAAGGTACCACATTCAATACAGTAAGTACAAAAGTACCAAATTATACTGACCCTTGCCCAAGCACGCATCCATAGCTCGCGGGTAATTTGCTCCAACATTTCCGGACGCTCCATGTCAACAAGACAAAGAAATCTCTGTGCAGTCATAGACCCATTGTTAAACATGAAGTCAGTAGGATCCTGCCAAAAATAAGAAACACGAGAGTTATTCCCAATATAATATGGGTCCATTCGCTGAGATATAATTGAAAAATAATAATCTTTTATTTTCAGGAGCCTTGGAAATCGAAGCTTGCTGCTTCACACGCAGATGGAAAAAGTAAAGTTATTAGGCAGAGGCAGGATTGCTTAGCTATCAAGTCTACATTTGGATTCACAGAAAAAAAGTCAATGTAAGTTGAGAGACACTTCACCCACCAAAAATCCCACTTTACTCACATCTCTCACAGCACTACAGCAACCCACCCATTCACACATATGCTTACACTTTCTTATGTGTTTATATATAAAACTGAAAATTTACCGGGGGCACTTTGTATGGAACATCAAAATACTTGGCTATTCTTTCAGAATCTTTGAAAGTGTAGATCGCTTTGTTTGGGTTGGCAGCAGGTGGTTTGTTCCCTGGGGAAAAAAAAAAAATTCATTAAAATGAAGCATCAAAAGAAACAATGAATCAATTACTAGTCTGCTTTACAGAGCGGAAAGGACAAGAATCTGCTGGGTGGTGAACCTGTTGAGGGTGCACAACACGTTGTTGTTGTTGAGGACTGGAGTGTCTGTCTGCCTACCCAGAGAAGAGGCCATGCATGTTGAGGATAGGAGGGTACAAGGGTTTTCATGAGACTAAAAGACCTGACCGCTCTGTGACCATGTAGTTCCAGTAGGGTTCAGACTGCCCATTTCCTGCCACCAATGACTACTGGCTATAGTTGTCCACTCTTGCATGAGGCTTCGGTGAAGGGGAAAGTCATTGGATGGTCACGTCCAGGGTCATTGTGCCTTTAAAAAGAGGACCATGGTCAGAAAGAAAGTCAGGCATTCTGCTCAATCCACACAGACATTCTCAAACTGGCTGGTTCCTTCTCAGCCACAGAGGGTGTGCTGATAAAGAGTAGTAGAGTTTGAGACCTCTGTGTTAGATGATCAAACCTACGCTTCAAAGATATATGTTGTGTAAGGAAGTCCAAAAGCTGGTGGAGATAAACAATTTTAAAAAGCTAGCAGTCCAGAGTTGACGGCGGCACTGCATGAACCTAACAACAATTTCCCATGGCATAAGACGAGCAGAGAATAAAAAGAATAGGTAGGCAGGAGAAAAGGACAGCATCAAAACATCACAAAACTACCCACTTCTTCAACCAATGCGTCAGAGACTGCAATGATAGGGACAGGCTATACGACCACTTCAGGAAATGAGCTTTAAGATTGTGACAAGTGACCAGTACAGCACAGCATACCAGCATCTCATGGGATGAACAAATGCATCTTCATTAAAGCAAAAAAAAGTTTATAACTTACTCAAATTCAATTATGTGCACCTATCTTTCCATGTCCTCCCCAGATGCTAAGAAAATGATATTGTGAAATCAGGCTCTTGTCAAAATGAAACAAAAATAACGACATTTTTCCATCTACAGGGCTAATTTTCACCAGATTTTTTTCCCCTCTAGCACAACACCTTTAATGTCCACATTTGAGTGTGGATTTTACAGAAACCCGTTGATCTTTACTTTATTTTTATCCACCGCTTATACCCTTTTGGGTGTAGCCGGAAGAAAGAGATGTCTCTCTGCAACCAGTCGGAGAGCTTGGGTCAGGGGGATGCATCGAGTTGTTAATGTTTACCCGACTCCATCTATCCAGTTCTTTCTAGGTCGCCCTTTAGCCTTGTTGCCATTGAATTTTTTGATGTAGGCACGTTGTACTGGGTGGTGTGTTGGTAATCGCATGACATGCCCGAAACATTTGATTCTTTGGTGTTGGAAGTGATGCATGTTGATCAAAGGCACAAAAATGTAACTTTGCACTTTCCAAGTACACTCAAGCTTTGTAAGTTTCAAAACTTTGAAGGCCATTTACTCTCTAATTTTATCTCTCACGTCAGACAACCCCATTCCCTTCAATCACAAATATCTTGATGTCTATTCAGATAGAGAGATAAGTATTTTTTTTCATCAAAAGCTAGACAAATGAACAGCGTGCCCAGAAATTGACGATAGTCTGAAAAGTTACGTGACACATATTGAACAGAGTGTGAACAGATAGCTTTTAACAAAAACTTAATTTTCATTTCACAGAGTAATTAGAATATTAAAAAAAGGCATGCAACATGAACATTATGCCTACTATATAATGTCTACAACAATGATCACCTGAGCCTTGCATTATTCCTCCCAGAAAGAAAGGACGCCATTTTATGTCCAGGTTCCATACGTTCTTGTATCTGCATAAGACCTGTGAAGCGGAAAGACACTTTAAACCACTAACTAAGATTAAAACACTTAAAATGAAATTTCCAAACTATGGCTGATAAAGACACCTCTTTTCTTCGAACAGTATGCATGTCGGTATAAATGACTAGGGTACATATATTCCTCTCCAAGTCACAACAGACACCCATACCGAATCATGGTAATCACAGTGACTGACAAGAGATGGAGAAGACAAAGCCAGAGCCTTTTATCTTTAAAACGGAAAAGAATACAACTGCAAAGCTCTGGATAATTGTTAGAAATACAATAATGATGCCTACACAAGTTTACGTGCTCAGTGCCAATTTAAAATACAAATCGAAGTTTAACTCCGCCTTACAAATGTATTCACTCCCCCAAACTCCTTTCTCCCACGGATGTGACAAAATAAATTCATTCCACACAGATATTGATCTCATATTTTCTGCATGTGATGCTCATACTTTACTGCTACACTACAGACTGTGGCTTTGGACACATGCACAAAATTTTGTTTTAACTAAACAGTCTCGTTCTTGCTGGTGCTCAGAAACAATCTGACCCAAGCACTGTAGGTTACTAAAATTTAACTTCTACTTTTGAGCTGCTTTAAATGAGACTTCTCAGTCCCCAAAGTCAAGGAAGTTACAGTTTAGCCTTAGCATGACCATGGTGAAACCAGCAGGATGCGGAAATCTTTTCATTTTAGTTTTAGTAAGCTACGGGTTTTGCTACATGTTTTGAAAACAAAGTCAAAGAATAAAAGAAATATATATAGCCTACATAATGCAAATTTGATACATACAAAAATATATATATTATATTGTGAAAGTTCGTCACTTTGGTCACCTAAGACTTCCGAACCACTTAACTTTCGAATTTGAAAAAATTAACGGTGGTTCAGAATCATTTATAGGGTGCACAGTTATATTAAGGAGTCTGAAGTCACTGTAGTTTAATTTTCATTTTTCCATTAGTTTCGTTTAGATTTAATTTAGGAAAAGTCTGTTTTCTAAGACGCAATAGTAAACAAGTGAGGCTTCTGTTCACAAGCAGTGTGCACTGTTCCACAATGACTTCACAATTGATTCTTTTGAGTCCGTTCATTGAACCGGTACCCAGCTCGTATATATATACATAAATATAATTTGATTATTTTACAAAAATGAAAAATTGCAACCTGAAATTCTGTTCCCCGTGTGCCTGTTTCACTACGTCCATGTCCCAATGTACGTAGAGGGCCTTGAAGTTGTGTTTGCAGCGACAAAAGGATCAGAATTTATTACAAAGTTGAGCTTGGCTTGCTTGAAGGTGAAAGAATCCCAGCTTTCATTTTTCAAGCTTTCATTTTTCACATTTGTAGCCTTGCTGAATGGGTTTTTTTGTGTTTGTTTTTGCTTTTTTGTGTGTGTGCGAGCGCGTAGGCCTACAGTTACTGCCATATTGACTACTCAATGCAAGACTCCATTATATCATTACTTTTCAAAATGGTGTATGACAGAGTTAAATTACACTTACAGTCAAACCTCATTTTATACTGCCCACCCCCGCTTACCATCAGGTATTCCAAATGTACGAAAAGAATCCCCTATATAAGCAGTTAACATATTATTTGTGCCGCCATCCACCAACTGTCTCAGTTGTACGGTACTTATAAACTACTGTAAATTTACCACATTGTATCGCCAGTAAACGGGCGGCCAGAAGTGCACAGTACTCACAAGGCTATATTAAGGTGCATGGCACACCAACTCGGTGGTTACTTTACACACAAGTCTCTACGCGCAAGGCCAAAGTCTAGGTCTAGATCAAACGCTTTTCGGCGATTTTCTCCCGCCCCGCACACCCCACCTCCTCACCTTTGTCTTGTAGATTTCCAGCAATATGGATCTCCAGTGATGTGGTGTGTCACAAGCGAACACAATACAATGTGTAATTTAGAAGAGTACAATTAAAATAAAAACATAACTTTGTAATTCAGCATCAAACTTCGTTCCCTGTGTGAATTCGAAGACTAAATTTGATGCACTGATTACGAAAGAGTTATTATTTTTAGGCGTTAGTCAAAAAAAATTGGAGTAAAAATTAAGTCCACTTTAAAGCCATCTTGGCCCCCCGGCAAAATGACTGGCATCGCCAGATATTAGCTTAATAACTTAAAGGCTGATGATTGCCCACGGGGCTTTTATTTACTGAGGACTCAAGTTCAAGTCGAAGTGACAGTTCGAAGGAATTTTTTAACTCATTTTAATTCATCTAGATAGTAATTGGTAAACAAGTTTCCTTGATGTTGGGTAGTCGGTGCTACCACCTGTAATTAACAAAGGACATGAAAACCTCGTTGTACACCAGTTCAGCTGTACTCCCAACTTCATGCTTGTCCAGGGGTATAGGTGGTATAAAAGGGGTTCGACTGTTATTTAATACGCAGTCCATATTATAACTTATTTGTGACCAATTATCCAAAAGAAGAAAAAACGGAAGGACTTCCGTAACGAGCGACCACCCCAACAAACACAATTAAGAAGAGACCTGACCCTAATCCTGACTCTGACCTGACCCTTGAACCCCTAACCCTACCCAATCCCAGCCCTAACCCTCTAGGCCTATTTTACTTCGTTTCATTGTGGTTGCTCGTTACAGAATTCCTCCCGAAAAAAAATTTAACAGTTGTAAAAGCTAAGTAGGCTACTCTAGTTTTTAAGCCTACAGGGAATCCTATCTCCTTGCAGGGTCCAGAAGTAGAACAAAGTTGCAACTGCAATAAATGCTGTTTTTTGTTGTTGTTTTTTTAAATAAAAGCTACTGGGCAATTTGGAACTTCTAAAAAACCTGCAAAAATGTTTCCACGAAACTGATTTGATTTAGTGGAAAGTACGTACCTCAAAAGCAAATAGGGAATAAGGTGACACAACATCATAGAAAAACTGAACTGTTCTTTTCGACATGGTGGTGAGGTTTCTGTTCTAAGTTCACTTCTAGATCTAGATCTAGATCTAGATCTACCTCTGCCAGAAAATGAAGACTGCAACTGCAAGAGACTGAGGCTGCAACAACAGCAACTGAGGCGAAACCGTTGACACTTCTTGCCCTACAGCCTTGCCTTATTCTACGATCACAAGCAAACTGCACCAGCACGGGACCAAAGTAGGCGACCAAGAGCAGTTTTTATGTTATAGTTTTAGACAAAGTGCAACTTTGACTGAGGAAAAAAAGAAAATGAGTTTCTTCACTTCAGGTCGAGAATTGGGCTTTGGCCCGTACCGTAGGAGGCACTTTGCACTCTGAACGGGGCGGGTGGGTGTGGACTTCGGTCAGAGGTCGGAGAGCCCCACCAGGATTGCCAGGTCTCTGGACTTGCGCCAGGCCAAGGCTAAAACATTTGCCAAATTTCAAACTGCAACGTCAAATTCTCTCATATTTCCCCTGTCCAATTCAATTAGCATCAAGTTCAAATTCAAGTTCTACAGTTTAATATCGTTCCTGTTCTATGGTATCTTTTCTAGACATCAGCAGTGCTGACTCTATTTAGAATCTGCGGCGATGACATTTCATTTTGAGAAAGACAGACAAACTAAAAGATGATATTATAAAAAGACAGTGGAAATTGCTGTGCTAGTAACACATCACGTAGTAGGCCTAGGTCCACATATTATAGATCTGCATTTTTAATTCGACACTCATAGTATAGGCCAGTGCAATTTTGTTTACACGATCTTCATATAACAAGAGCGCCAAAGATAACATAATCTGAGATAAGCAAATACATTTCTAGAATTACCAAAATATTACCAAAAAGAAAAAAAAAGAAACTTTCACTTGCTTTCACTTTCGGAGGTTGATTAAAAATAAAAAATATTACGTAACGTTGTTTTCATAATTGTAGCCTATTCTTTTCAATTGCACAGTTAAAGGACTAACACTGACACAGAATGTAGAGACGAAGGCGGTATAATTCAGTCTCAGCTTTCTCAAAGCAAGTTCGCCCCCCTCTTTTTTAATATTGAAAGTAATGAAAGCCGGCGTGCACGAGTCTCTAGCCTATTCCAAAAAGAGTAAAACGACAGACTATCATATAATATCATTATATGCAAAAGCTCCAAAGCTCACACTGATCGACACCATGATCACAAACACTTTGACAAACAGTGCAACGAACGGGTGATGATAAGTTGATAACCCCCAGCCTTCTTGTAGCATAATAGGGGAGAGAGCTCCGTTAATTGTTATTGTGTTTTTAGTAGGGTGGCAGATTGTTCCCCTTTCATAACAGGTTTTCTTCCGTCATTTCCCGTTAATTAAGCACATAATTTAGGCCTAGAAACCCATCTATACGAGTTATCTAAAAACAATATATTTTTTACCTATTTCTGACTCTTTTGCCTACTTTTTTTTCAATGAGAAAAGGGTGTTTAAGGCGTTATATCGATTCAGGTTCCATAAGATCCGCATTTGTATCTTCATACAAATGTCTTTAAAATAATGACCTTCCCACATAAGCCTACTGGCTTCTTCCCGCATTACATACAGCCTTATTCACTTTCTTTTTCTTCTCTAAAATCCTCAACAGTTTTTAAATTAAAGAATCATATTGCTGTTACCTGTAGTTAAGTTTCCCTGTTTTAAACAATTGTTCAATATTCACAGCCACCGTATAGATCTATATTAAGTTGGGTAGGTTAATATATAAGCTGCTCTATTTGAAATCCGATACTAAATGGTATTGATGGGATCGTAAAAATACCTGAATGAAAAACTGAGTGGCAAGCACAAACACACACACACACACACACACACACACACACACACACACACGTGCGCGCACACACACACATCACACACACTGTCTCCCCTTCCCCCACCCCGCTATCTCTCTCTCTCTATCTCTCTCTCTCTCTCTCTCTCTCTCTCTCTCTCTCTCGCTCTCCCCCCCTCTCTTTCTCATTCTCCTCTCATACACAACAACAATAACAACAACAGCAGCAACAACAACAACAACAATACACATTTACACGTTCTCTCTCCCCCCCTCTCTCTCTCTCTCTCTCTCTCTCTCTCTCTCTCTCTCTCTCTCTCTCTCTCTCTCTCTCTCTCTCTCTCTCTCTCTCTCTCTCTCACCCCTACAAGCAATTTAGATTATTTAGGAGGCGGGCTTCCGATCCAGCCTCTCAAGGCCGCTGGCCCTAGAGGTATACAACATCCCAGCAGAAAGACCGAGATAGGCCTACTTTATAAAAATGTATCCCTACTCGGAATCGACAACAAAAACTCTTTCAGGTAGGTTCAGCAAGCCCACTCTACCAGTGAAAGACAGAGGGAAAGATTATCATGAAACCAGAAGGGCAATTTAACCGATGGAGAGAACACTTTGATCAACTCTTAAACAGACCACCTTCAGAAAACCAACCAGAAATTCTTCCAGCCAGAAATAACCCCCCAGTAGTTACGGAACCACCTTCGAGAGAAGAAATTGCTGCAGCTAAAAAAACATACCTGAAATCCCACAATGCAGCTGGTCCCGACCATAACACCGAGAACCCTTAAGGCAGATAACGATACATCAGTGAGAATTCTCTATACTCTCTTCGAAAAGGTTTGGCAAGAAGAGGAAATACGATCAGACTGGAAGTCAGTGGAAGGAAGGCCACCCAACCAAGATACCAAAGAAGGGAGACCTCAGCAATTGTAACAACTACTGAGGTATAACATTCCTGTCCGTACCTGAGAAAGTCTTTAACAGGATACTCCTGGAAAGAATCAAGCTGGCAACAGACGAGAAGCTCCGAGGAAACCAGGCAGGATTCCGAAAAAAACAACAACCGATCATGTGTGGACCAGATCGCTACTCTGCGCATCATTGTTGGGCAGTCACTTGAACGGAATTCACCACTCGTGGTCAACTTAATTGATTATGAAAAGGCGTTCAACAGCATAGAAAGGGAAACTCTGTGGAAACTCATGCGTCATTATGGAAAGCCTGACAAAATCGTCAAACTTGTGAAGGCCACCTTTGATGGAACAAACTGCCAAGTCTTCCACGAAGGACAACTCACAGAACCATTCCAGGTACAGACAGGAGTGCGACAAGGATGCTTGCTCTCACCTTTTCTCTTCATACCGGCAATTGACTGGGTCTTGAAAGAAGCCACCAAAGGCAATCGTAATGGAATACAGTGGATTCCTTGGCAGCAGATGGACGACTTGGACTTCGCCGATGACCTTGCACTGCTCTCTCACACACATGCTCAGATGCAAGAAGAGACTACGGAACTCAACGGCCTATCAAGGATTGTTGGCCTACGTATACATCCAGGCAAGTCGAAAGTAGTGAGGCTAGGAAAAGTTTCAAGTCCTTCTGTGACAGTGGAAGACACTCCCCTGGAAGAAATGGACTCCTTTACCTACCTTGGAAGTGACATCGATTTTAAATGCTTGATTTAATCACTTATCAAAAGTCTGGAAAGCAAGCAACATCTTACTGCGCACCAAGATTCGACTCGTTAACTCCAATGCCAAGTCTGTGCTCCTCTAGGGCTGCGAAACTTGGAAAACAAAGTACTGAATAAAGTCCAGACTTTCATCAACATATGTATGAGGAGTATCCTAAGAATTAAGTGGCAGGATAGAATTAGAAATTAAGAGCTGTGGGAAAGGACAGGACAAAATGATAAGTAGAAATAGGACTAAGAAAGTGGCGATGGGTGGGACACGCCACACCTTCAGAAAGCCTAGCGGAAACATCACAAGACAGTCGCTGCAGTGGAACTCACAGGGAGCAGTAGGCAGGGATAGTCCATGTGAAACACGGAGGAGATGTGTGGAAAGGGACCTGAGAGAGATGAAGCTTAGTTGGAACGAGCTTGGAAGGATGGCCCAGGACAGAGATAAATGAAAGGAGCTTGAATGTGGCCTATACCCTGCCAGGGGTGAAAGGCATTGATGATGACTCAGGAATCGAACTCGGTTCTCCTGCGAGCGACAGCGAAGAGCCTAACCGTTACACCATAGACGCCGGTAAACTTTGTTGGGTCATGATGAAAGTGATTAACGACAAACAGTTGCAGAGACACGTACGACCTTGTCTCCAAGAATCTACCCACTTGGCAAAAGGCACGCCACAGGGAAAAGAGTTGGGAATTAAAGTAACAATGAGAATCCCCCCCCCCACCCCCAAACACACACTTGCCCTCTCCCAGACACACATTCTGGGAAAGTAAAAATATATAACAATGTATGTAATGTATGTTATATTATATGCGAATAACATTTTAGAATAAGTTGATTGACTGTAAAGGTCTTAAAATGTATTAGCCCATCGACATAATATAATGTAGACCTATACATCTATAAACTGTATAAATGTGTACAGTCGAACATGGATCTAACGGCCCTGTATAAGATAAAGACAATCACCTGTAGAAATGGCTATTTACATCAACACTATTAGGTTATTTAAGGGGCGGGACCTCCTAGTTTAACGTCCGTCTCCGATAGGACCGTGTTCGCCATTCCTTGAAGACTGTAATAATAAAGCGTATAGAGCATGCTGTAGAGCATGAAATGCGTTCTACACGTCACGTGGGCCTATACAATTTCTGGTATTATTATTATTATTATTATTATTATAGTTCTGTAAAATAAACTACTTTTTCAGGAATCAAGCCGACGTCTTCCGTGTGTCACAATATTAGGAGTCTATCCATTAGCGTACACCATACAAACTGATGCAGGTACATACTGTAATCACCGAAAAGGTTTTTTTTTAAATACCGTGGCATTTTTTTTGTGTGTGTGTGTGTGTGTGTGTGGGGGGGGGGGGGGGGGTTAATATATCTTTCGACCCTTAAATACGTGAGGTTTTAAGGGGTGGACCTCCGAATTTATCAGGCCTCTCCGAAGGGATCTTAGTAGCCAAAGGGGAACAATCACATAAAGTGCCCTTCTCAATGGCACAATGCCAGACGGCAATGAACCTCGGTGGACCCCTGAACCCGCAGCCTCACGATTACGGGTCCCACAGCCTAACCAACCATTAGACTATACGAACATAACACGGTTTGTCACACATCCTCTGAATTAGACAAGCTTTATGCAATTTGGAAACTGTAACTTCAGGCAGAAGAGCTAGAACCCAGATGGCCGCTGGATTGCTGGATCGGAAAAGTAATAGTTTGTAAAAGTAAACTGTAACAATTTTGGCTCAGCGGTGACTTGTAATTGGGGTTTAATGTCTTGAGCAAGACATAACAAAATGCCTAAGCCAAAGAGAACGTTCTGTAGACGACAACAAGAGAAACACAATTGGTATCTAACTCGATAAAATCCTCTTTTCTCTGTGTT